GTTTTATGTGTGTACAAATGACACGCACTAGCAAATCGTCCCCAATGGTGTCTTCACGTCCCCGATGGTGCGTTGATGCCGACTGTTTGTCAGTTGTTCGCCGGGCTTGTTCCGATCAGCAGTGGTGTATGTATTAAAGTCAATTCACTAGTGGGGACCAAGTGTTGTGCCTTACAGTTTTGTGTGTGTACAAATGACACCCACTAGTTAATCGTCCGAGTCCTCAATGATGTCCTCGCGTCCCCAATAGTGCATTGATGCCGACTGTTTGTCAGTTCTTTGTTGGGCTTGTTCCAATCAGCAGTGGTCTTTGTGTTAAAGTCGGTTCACTAGTGGGGGCCAAGTGTTGTGCCTCACGGTTGTGTGTGTGTACAAATCATACCCACTAGTGAACCATCCCCAATGGTGTCTTCACGTCCCCGATGGTACGTAGATGCCGATTGTTTGGTAGCTGTTCGCTGGGCTTGTTCCGATCAGCAGTGGTCTATGTGTTAAAGTCGGTTCACTAGTGGGGGCCAAGTGTTGTGCTTTACGGTTTTGTGCGTGTACAAATGACACCCACTAGTGAACCGTCCCCAATGGTGGCGTCACGTCCCCGATGGTGCGTTGATGCCGACTGTTTGTCAGTTGTTCGTTGGGCTTGTTCCGATCAGGAGTGGTCTTTGTGTTAAAGTCGGTTCCCTGGGGACCAAGTGTTGTGCCTTACGATCATTAAAACGTAACATTGAAAGAGAATAACATTAAGCATGTTGCTAATGAAGTTGATATGAACATATTGTCCTGTTGTTGTTGTGCATATGAGGATCGGAACACAAACATGTGTCATCCTTTGGAAAATGTTACAGGCCCCAGTGACAAAAGTGCAGCTCGTTCGCATGGCATGTAAAGCACATCTGCTGCGAGAACAAAAAAAATAAAAGTATGGATGGTGCATGTGTGTTGCGCGACTGTGGTCGCCCTTTCAACTTGTTACGAACGTTGAACTCGCATCGAGCAAGGGCATGCCCATCCGTCACATTGCATCGGACTCCATCAGATGAAACTGAAAGGATGAACGACACACGTTTGAAACATAATGTTCCCATGAATGTTGACATGCCGGAGAACAACGCATTCGAAGCACCGTGTAACGAAGAAGGAAATGCACCATCCGAAGAAGAAGAACTGAGGGGTGCTCCGACTTTCGACACGTCACGAAGACTAGCCGCAGTCATGTTGTCCGCGAGGGGTGGTGTCGGCTTATCTCAGAACGATATCGATGCTCTTCTGTCAGTACTTAGAGATCCTAGATTCAAGGCACATGACATAGCGTATCGTAACAGCTGCGAATGTTTACACTGGGCAAGCACCCAAGCCGCGACGAATGGTTGGCAGAAAATCGACCTTAGAAGTGACGACTGACCGTTAGAGCGCATGCCATGTTGTGGTAGCGCGATTGGCGTGCAACCTTCACGTCGTTGTTCGTGGCAGCGACAAAGAATGTGGAAACGCTGTTTGACTTAGAGGTGTTCCCACCTTCACATAATCATCGCATATCTACTGCCTGCACTGGAAGTTTGAGCTACCACGTGCAGACACTCGTGAGAGCAGACAAGGGTTTCGATAGGGATGGCAAAAAACATTACGTTATGCCGTTCTCCTTGTATTCTGACAAAACACATGTGGATGGACGACAGAAACAAACAGCATACCCTCTCATGATGTCCATCACAGATCATGCAGCGGACGCAACACTTCTTGCATACCTCCCTGTGCTTCACCACAGGCCACGTGACAAGGGGTGGGGTTTGCAGTCAACGACATACAGAAAACGAAAAGTGCAAATATTATATAAGGCACTGTCCATTGTGTTGGACTCCGCAAAGGATGCATCGCGTAGGGGCATAATTATTCATAGCGAACGCTTTGGTGAGATAATTGTGCACCCTTTCCTTCTCAACTACATACAAGACTATCCTGAGAGATGCGCATTGGCAAATGTAAAATTCGGAGTGTGTCCGACATGCACGGTGGCAAGAAGCGCCTTGGATGTGGTTGTTGATTTCAACAACTGTAGGCGGTCTGAGACTATGGAAAAACAGCTAATAGGGGATGCGTTCAACACTGACGAGGCAAACATTAGTCAAGCGGCAAAAACGCAGTTGATGGATCTAAACATGCATAACCATGTCGAACACAACGGTGTGTGGGGGTTCTACAGGGGTCCAGTCGGAGACGATCCACTGTTGGACTACCACATGGCTTTGCAACCAAACCGTATGCACACAATAAAACACGACATATTCTTGCACATGATAGATGCATTTAGAACGGCTACATTCGAGAAGTTGGCCCATGTTCCACAAACCTCCATATTGAAAGAAATCGATGCCAGACTGCAATTCATAAGCGAAAGCTGACTCGGACATTTCCACAACTTGTGTTGCCCGTTGCAACAGGCAGCGACTTTTTCTCTCGAGAGGTACGGTTTGAAGCTAAGCAAAATCGGTCTGTGATGACCGTGTGCGTATTTATTGTATATAATATTATTCCCACCAGGGCAGGGAGAGGAATGACTAGTTGTTTCTGTAAGCCTATGGAACTGGGAGTACTATAGTGCACGATCTTCTCCATTTCAGATCATGCATAGAATGATCAGGTCTACCAGACACATTCGCCGCTGATGTGTGGGAGTACTACCACAGGAAGTTCTGCAAACACTCGTACCAGTTGTCCAATAAACGCATCCCAAATGGTGAACCACTTTTGGCGATCTCTCACGTTACAGGAGGACTATGATTTGGTAAGGAGACGCAGAAGAAGGTCGACGGAGAATTGGTCGTCTATCATACAGTGTTCAACGACCGGACTGAACACGCTCACTGCACGCGACACAGCGACGCTCCAACTTCGGTGGTTCTGATTTGATGATTCAACAGTGGACAATGGTGTAGCAGGCATGACGACCACCGCGCAGAAGATACTGCGTTAGACCCCGTGCAAAGACCAATTTCGAGCAGCACTGAACACGTACATGAGCGAAAATGATTATCCTTCCCCGAGCGAAGATGTATGGATACACACTAGAACTCAATTGGTCATCGTTTCAACAAGTGTCGGCACAAACAGGGGAGCGGTTGTGCAAACTGCCAGAGCATCACCTGAGTTCCATGGAAGGGCAGTGCATAGTGATATCACTGTAAGAGCACATGAGGGATCAACATGGTATGCGTCAGTGGTCATAAATTTTGTAATTAATGTGCAAACAGGAGAAGCGACGAACCCGCACAAGTGCGCATTCGTGAAGTGGTATAAGGAGGTGGATAGTGAAAGAGAGCATGCGACAGGTTGTAAGAAATTAAAATGGGAGAAGATCAGCAATCGACATCACAGTAATGTTATCTCTATTGACACCATAATAGACACCGTGCATATAGTTCCATGTTTTGCAAAACCG